ATCAGAAAAACCTCACCCATAGCCAGAAGAAGGGACTAATGTTCATTACGATAGCATGTATTAATGGCAATGAAACACATCAGAAAAACCTCACCCATAGCCAGAAGAAGGGACTAATGTTCATTATGATGGCATGTATTAACAATGAACGTATGAGAACAAAATAAAATACTTATAACTAGAAGAAGCAAATAACGTTGTATGTGACGTCATGTATGAATAAGAAATGAAACAATAAACTTGATAAAACACATAACTAGAAGAAGCAACTAACATTTAGTATAATGACACTATTGAATGAAACTTACTCATACTCAAAATAAGGGATAACGTTGTGTATGATAGATTGTATTAATAAAGAAGACATTAGAACAGATAAAGCATGCTAATAACGAGAAGCTATTAACGTTGTTCTTATGGCAAGGTGTGTGTAATAATGGAAACATTAGACCAGATATAGCACACTAACAGCAAGAAGCTATGAACGTTGTTGTTATGGTAATGTGTGTGTGTGTAATAATAAAAACATTAGACAAGATATAGTACTTATAAGGAGAAACGATTAATTTTGTGTATGTCTTATATTAATAAAAAATAACAGTTAGACCAGATAAAACCCTAATAACTAAAAGAAGCGAATAACATTGTGTAAAATATAAATGTGAAACCAGATTAAAAGATTATAGCCAGAAAGAGTGAATAGCACTGTGTAATAGCATATATTGATAATGTATACATTATCGGACCAGCTAAAAATAAAGTAGCTAATGTTGTGTATTATTAAATTTATTAATAATTAACAAAACATTAGATTAATTTGTTTTATTGTGGGTTTACATTTATTACTTTTGGTTCATACTTCATTCGCTTATTTATAACTCTCATAACATCAGTTTTGATCCATCATCGGCTTACAAAATCACTTTGCCCAAGAGCAGTGTGCTAATCTTTTCACTTTGTAACTTCAGTTCATTTTACATTAATATACAATCTTATGTGAAGACATAGTCATGGTATGAAGAACTGAAGAAGTCTAGAAATGTGCTTCAGTGTTATCCACAAAGAAAAAATTTAGTGTTAAGGCAATTAACTTTTTGAGTACATTGTATAAATTAGGTACAGAATGTTGAGTAAGCTATATTAAATTGACTTTAAATATGCAAACCAGCAAGTCACGTAACATCCCAACTGATATAAAGGCGCGGTGGGACAGAATGTATGAGAACTACATTTTGACATTATTTACATAGTATGATGACACCAAGAATCATCAATTTTGGAAAGTGTATGTAACAGCCCTTTCTCATGCAAAATATTCATACCCTCTGATCATAAAGATCTGTTCAAATCGTGGATTAAGAATTTTGTAAGACTGGGATATCTCTTGAATTTAATAATATTGAAAAATAGGGGAATATATATCAACTTGAGGCCCCAGGGCCATCGATAAAAAGACTTACAACAAGTCATGCCCCAACCATGGTAAGCAAAGTGAGACGTCTTGTAATAGGTGAGAATCAACGAACACAAAGCTCTACCACAGAACCTTTTACAATGAAAACTCTATTGTCCATTTGCATGGTCGTCAGATAGAGTATGACCGACGTGGCGACATGGATTGTAACAATATGGTGAGATAAAATATTGTATAATAGATAAGTAGGTTAATTCACAATCGGGAATTCATCATCACTTTATATAAGCAGGGGCGTCAGTTGAAGTCTATAAAGGAGTGCTACTTTTGGAGGAATAAAAATAAATGAATGGCAAAGCCATACGGGGAAGTGGGAGTGGGTCCGGGGCCATGCCCCTTATAAAACATTATGTAATGTTTAGTTGAGAAAATGATGCATTTTGATGATATCTGAGGCTGTTTTCACACCTTTTATATATATATGCTCCATACATATATATTGGTGCAACTTAGGTGGTGCGATTGCACCTGCCGCACCCTTACGTACATGATTAGTACATATATAATTAGTCAGAAGGTAACTAAAAATCTTAAGAAAACAAATACAATTAAGCTCTAAGTATGTTAATTGTCCGTGTATATTTAGGACATCGTTTTAAGCAACCTTAACCTAACTTAGTGCACTGTATAGATTAGTATATAGTTTTGCATTACTGTTTATGGATAAAAACTAAACAATCTGAAGAACTGCCAACCTAATTCGAACCCCAAATATGCTTCGCTAGTAGCTGTTTTAGTGATATGCAACTAAACTACTGGGTCCACTGAAAGAGGTAAACAGATTTGTGCAGTCATAATAACCCCTAGTTCACAGTTGTTTTTTTAACTTCTTCTAATTAATTTCATACATTTTAGGAAGACGTGCCACCTTAGAACAATTAAAAACTAGTCGATTATGCACTGATATCGGTAACAGTAAGTGAACTTGCGGATTTAAGCCTCCTGCAGACGTATTATTTCAATCCTTTTAAAAGGACATTTTAGATTTCTTGAGCCTATAAATTAAAAGACTACACAGCAAAGTGGTTTTACATTTCCGGGGTTATCCGACCCGCGACCCTTTTACTACCTGGGTATCAACTGTTAATATGAAAATTGAATGAAAATATCATAGCAATGCAGTTGTAAGCGTGGGTCTTTAGCCAGCGTAATAAAGAAAAGGTTGAAACTGTCGTATTCAGAACTAAAAGAGGCTACACAAGTCTGTAGACCTGAAAAAGGAAACGTGTGTATACAATACTATTCACTTGAATAACAATATTTTCGCAAGATTATTTTTTATTATTATTACCGAAACAGGACCGAGTAATTGGTTCCAGATTTTCCACCCGTGTCGACGTCTAGGATGTTTTAATACATGCACTTCGAATTTTGTTTACCGTTACTGTCTATAAGAATGAAAGATTATTCTTACAGAGTGCTACCTTGTATATTGAAGATAGTTTGGGTATAATTCAATATTTTTGCAGAATATACACTTGAAAATAATGTCATCACATTATTCACTGTTAGCGTGTTCATACAGGGCCTACAACGTATACATCAAATACAGTTTTGCTATAATTCAATATTTATATTAACCTCAGATTTACAAGACATCATTTAGTTTTTTACCTGCCACTCTTTGTAACAATCATTTCATTGTTGACAGCTTGAAATTTGGCCCACAGTTCCAAGTTCTCGAGCTCCGCCCGGAGTTGCCCATCTTCGTTCTCCGAAGATCGCTGACTGTTACCGTGGAGATGTCCCTGAAGTGCCAACTGGAATGGTTTCATCATTGAACTTTTGGATTCTTGCATGCAAGCACTATGTGTCATCTCCTCGTTTTACATGTGTTCTCAATCTTTAGACCAAATATTACTTTAAACTATCAGGACAAGATACAGAGCTTTTCAGTGGGCGACGGGCAGGCCTAACTCAGCACACCAATAGTAAGTCAGACTTCCTTTTATGTACGCCTCTGCTTGATTTTTATTGGTTGAAGTTTCTTGTGTCCCACCCTGTGGATAAGTTACATCCCCAAATATAAATAATAAATAATTTTTCTCCAAGAATTACTTGTTTGATTTCCTTACCTCATACTTAACTTGAATTGAAAGTTATGAAATTGTACAAAACTGAACATGTATTAATTAACTTGTGTGAATATAGACGAAACCAAGCTATTTTCCTATCTTATTATCTTTGCTGATTAGAACCTTGGAATATCACACGAAACCGAAGAATGTAACATGCGTGAATCAACTTGAGTGAATATACACGAAACCAGACTGTTTTCCCATGTTATAGGTGCTGATTAGAACTTTAGATTTTCAGACAAAACAAAAATGATAAGATGCCATGTGTGAATTTACATAAAACCTTTAGTTGTAGTTTGCTAAACGTATAAATGTCAGGTCATTTTAGGTAACCGTTTTTTTAAACAGTTTATTAAATGTTAAAATATCAGGTCATTTTATGTTACACTTTTTTAGAACATGAACAGAATATTTTATACATTAGCTTGTGAAGAACATTGATTTGTAAAATGTGTGAATCTCAGACCATTTATAGTGTTTGTTAAACATATGCATCTCGAGTCATCTGATCTAAGATTGGGTTAAGTACACAAATCTCAGATCAAATATTTAACAATTTGTAAAAACATAAATATTAGATTTTGTATGTAAGAATTTGTCAAACATGCGAATCTCGGGTATTTTTAATTAACATATTGTTTAAAACACGAATCTCAGGTAATGTTAATTAACAAGGAGTTGAGAACGTGAATACCTGGTCTTTTTATGTAAGATCTTGTTCGACATCAGATCATTTCAATAAAATGTAAATATAGTTATTTTATGTGGCAGTTAACTAATTACGGTAATAATAGGATTTTGTATGTGAGATCTCGGTCAACACGTGAAACTTTGATCATTTGATGTGATAGTTGTTAAACACCTGAATGTCACGTTGTTTTATGCAACAGTTTGTTGAACACACTGATCTCACACTGGACCGCCAAGGAAGTATCAGTATGTGTCTCTCCCTCTCACATTGAATTTATTCCTTCTTCTCAAACAATGTAAAAGTAAGCCAGCACACACAGTACTATATTCATCCCATTCATCCATGTCGTCAACAAATGAGTGAGCAGCTTTATGGCGTCTAGACGTTGCAACCAATTGATGATAAATTAAAATGGCAGCTTCAGTGATAAGAACAATAGATGGAATCAAAAAATTAAAGCATTTATATTTTTATCACCTCATACTGTCTTATAGTTTATTTTTAATTCTGTAGTCTACTAGCCTATTGTTTTGAAATGAAACTGCAATTGTATTCACATTTTCAGGTTCTATATCAGTAGTCACAATCATCAGTACTTTTGCCCAAAATGTCTTTACCTCCAAGTACAGACTCTTAAGTGCAGCCACTGACTTTTAGTGTGAAGATTCCTTTGATCTCCAATTAGTAACAAGAAAATAGCGACAAAACCAGTAACCAGTTCGTATTGCACCTGTGTCTGATATTAAACGGATTTAAGCATTAAATTATATTTTAGTTGAAAAACAAACTACAGCAAAAGGTAACCGAAAATTAAAAACAGCAATAAGTAATAAATCTTTTACGAAAAAAATTGAACAATATAAAAGTACTTAGTATGCTAATAAGGTTAAACGAAATATAACACACTTCAATTTGCAGTAACGCATGGATAAAGTTTATATATAAAGATCTAATCTACATTTCTGTATCACACACTGAGAAAAACCTATACTTGATATTAAAAAATGTGCTAAGCCATAGACATTGCCAGAATTTGTGCAGGGGGTTCCGTTTCTGAAATCAGCAACACATGTAAACCTAATTAAATTGTGTATCAATAGGAGTCCATAGCAAGGTTCATATCAGATTTACGAATCATATTAGCAAACGAAAAAGGTTATGAGTATAAAATTATAATGTCTCGTTCGGCAACTTAAATCTTTTGTTTTTCCGTGATCGTCAAAATGTAATTCAGGTTCGCACTCGGCGATCCTCCTTCCCGCTCTGATGTTCTACTTTATATGATGACATGTTAGGGACTTAAATGCAGAATCTACTTCTTACTGCTGTGTATGATGGTATCTTGTAGGCTCACACCCGACGTTCTACTGTATATGATAATATCATAGATGAACATATATGCTCTTTTATACTATGTAGGGTAGTATGTTACTGGTTCAGTCACGCGAAGCTTGTGATGTGTACTATAACAAATTAACACTCACCTTGTTCTATTGTATACAATGATGTATTACAGGTTCACATACACAGGATGTTCTTCTGTATAAAATTATGTGTATCTGACTCAGTAACACAATAATTATTTCAGAATGTAGCCGTCATCATTTTTAATGCTTATTTTTTGTTATATTTGTTTAATTTAGCGCAAAGCTACTCGAGAGTTATCTGAAGGGATAGACTAGTTGAAAGGCACTTAGTCAACACTACCCACCGCCAATTCTCGGGCTACCCTTTACCAACAAATAGTGGGATTGGCCATCACATTATAACCGCCCCCATGGTTGAAATGGCTAGCAAGTTCGGTAACAGTTTTAGGTCCCGCGAACCGCAGATTAGAGAGTCGAGCGTCCTAACCACTAGGCCATGCCATTTTGGTTGTCTTCGTATTCTGACAGATCTCATGTGATATTCATTCTATTATTCGAGACAAATGGCCTTGAGTCAACTAACAAAGACAAAACAATAAAGTGTTTGACTTTGTATTTAATTGTAACAACCAATGACATGTTTTGAGCCTACCAACCAAAATAAACAATAACACGGTTTGACTCCATTAATCGAGACAAACGGCCTAGACTCAGCTAATAAAGACATAACAAGAAGTTTGTATGTAATTAAGTACAAAGCTACACAATGGGCTATATGTGCTCTGCCCACCACGGGTATCGAAATCCGGTTTTTAGTGTCGTAAGTCCGCAGACATACTACGGTGCCACTGGGGGGTGAACAAGAAGTTTTTGGTTTTGTATTCAACTGTAACAAACAACGGCCTGTTTGAGCCTACTAATTGAAATAAGCAATAACTTGTTTTGATTCTATTAATCGAGGTAAATAATGACCTGTTTTTCATCTGTTAATAGAAACAAACCGACTTGAGTTAGCTAATAAAGACAAACAATGAAGGTTCATGACTTTGGTATTTAACCATAACAAACAATATGGTATTTTTTGAATCTATAGGAACCGAAATAGTTATATTTTAACTCTGTTAGCCCAAACAACCAGTACATGTTTTAACTATATTAACTGAGACAAACAATGAGAAGTCTTCATTAAACCATTTTTGTAAAGAAAACAATGTAATGGGAACGATCTTATGGGTCTAACAAATATTATATACATGGTAATTACTGCAGTAAGAAAAAGTTTTAAAAATTGATTGAAAATTAAATATTTACATTCTAAAATCTCAAAAATATTTCTCTGGTATCTCCGATGAAGTTGGATTTCATGTGATGACAGAATAGAAGTTGTCTACACATAATACATAAGTAAAATTATGTATGGATGACGAGAAGTAAAAACAAAAGATTAACAAATTTGTTTCCCAGTTGGGAGTTACTGGGAGTTTGAGAGTACCTCAGTTGGGAGTTACTGGGAGTTTGAGAGTACGTTTTAAAAAATTGTGAAACCTTTACTAGATGTAAGTTTTTCTTCTGAATTCATTTTTCTTTACGGAAATTAAATAATAGAGGGTTTGAGTACAGTGGCGCACGAGGTGAGAGCCACATAGAAATACCATTTATGTATAGATGTAGAACTATATTATGAAGCTTTGTTGTTGCCGCCTCATCGTCTTCCAATTAGTAAAAGAGGAAGGGTCCAAGTTTCGTCCCGCCAAACAAAGCTTGTTCCACGCGGAGGAAGGGCATCTAAGTTTTGCCCAGTCTTTCGAGCACTTCCTTTTGGCATGTTGACACCTTACCAGTCCGGCACTCAGGCGGTTTACCTTGTCGGGCCTGGATCATAAAGTACTCGGTCGTTTCAGCTACAAGGAACGGGTTCTAGGGTAAACAAGTGTACTGCATGCGCGCGTGCCCGAGTCATATACCTCGTGCATAGCCAGAGTCAAGACGCGGGCCCTCGTTTCCCGTGAAGAAAGAGACCGCGGGTAAAGCCCGGATAATACCTGTCCTAACAAGAGGCAATCTTCAAAAGACCTCTTCAGAAGAAAATACAAGAATTGTAGACTTTCAAGGAGTACGAGTTTTTTTTAATTTTTTCTTCATTTTTTTTTCTCTTTCGAAGCTTTTATGGCGACTTGTTTAACAACTTGAATATTACGTCTATAAAGAGAACACACACCTGTTTCTAGTGGATTGAGATATTTATTTACTTACGGGATACAAAACTGCTTTTTAGTAGCCCTACAGTCTGTCTGTAATCAGACCGCTGTGGCCCTCCCTCTCACGGAATGTGGACAACATATGTACACAAAGTAGACACAAACTAAACTACACGTGAATTTTGTCACATCTATCTACCTATATATCAAATCATTCATTCATCTATATCCATCCATCTATTTATGTTATTTCTTTATTTTAGAAATAATAATTTGTTTTTCACACAGTCATTGAACAAAATATTTAGATTATTAGGAAACTTTCAATCTACAATGTAAAAATAATAATTATATGTTAAACAAGTCAATTCTTTAAAACAAGGATAAAAAAATAGTGATTGTAAGTAAACTTATTAATAAATAAAGAAACGTCGTGTAACAAACGATATCAAAGTTTGTTATCAAAAACTCAAATTAAACCAAGGCCGGTAAATGTTTTTTGTCAAGTTCCCTATTTCTCGCTTACTGCAAGGTCAAAGTTCAGAGAAACACCTTTCA